GAATACAAAAGAATGTTCCAGGATAACAAAAAGTCGGTGCTTTAGGATGTAACTTATTTTATTTACTAGTACTACTGACTAACGTCGTCATCCCACTACCATATTGTTTATACACATTTCCAGACACGTTCAGTACAGTAATGTTACTTCATACGATCTTACTGTTACACTAAAATTGTTCAATAGTCTAGTTCACTAGCCGTTTTCGTTATGATATTATACATTCACCTATGTTGACATTGTTACTTGTGAAAGATACACGAATAGTTAGTGAAATGGCTTATGCTATATAACATCACATGTCGGCTAAATGCAGTTTATTGTAACATTATCATCGACGAGCACAGAGCATTAGTTCAACGTCAAGCTGATAAAAGTAGGCTATTATTGTAACTGCATTGGGAGTTTACATTAGTTTCCAGCATGTTGTGTGTGATGCTTTCTCCGTTGGGTTGAAAGTCTCCGTTTGGCCGGTAGTGAAAGTGAATGCTCGCTCTTGAGATCGAGCATGCACAAGCACACGAGCACGAGCGCTCTTGTTGCATTCTGAAACATCACCGTCAGAGGCCGCTAAAAAAAACCACATAGAGCACCTTTAAATAAATGCTGTTTAACTTTCCAATCGTCAAAGAATCATGATAAATACACTTTTGGTGTCACTTACAATGATATCTGAATAAGCATGTGATGCTGAGGTGTTGCCAAAAATCAGTGTTGCCATCATGAAAGCTTACACTTTTACAGTCAAGTCAAGTCAAGTCACATTTATGGGTATAGCGCTTTTTACAATACAATACAGCATATATTCATCTGTTTCTGTGGGGGGCATATGAACGTGTGTATGAGTCATTACTCAGAGCATCTGGATGTTATATTTATTTTTTTTCATTTGGGGTTATCAGCTGATGTGAGTCAAACACGGTGTCTCTGAAGTCTCTTTTCTCGTGTCGAATGAGTTTAAGCACACTGAGCACTGTGACTCAGCACCTCATAATTTTCTCTTTCTGCCAATACATCTGCCTTCTTTGAATCTCTGGGTCCTTTCTCTGTTTCTATTGCTTTCTCCCTCCCTCTTTCTATCTCTGTCTTCTTTCTGGCTCTCTACCATTGCCCTGTCAGTTGATTAGATAATGCAAATACATTATTTATAACACTTCACTCCTTCTCAGGCCTTTATGGGATGCCTAGCAACCAGGCAGTTGTATCATACGGTGCAAGATATCTGATAATGAGACATAGAACCAGTGTTAAGGCTGTTTCACACGAGATGTGGCATGTATTATAATCAGTCGAGGCAGAGTGAGCTTTATGGTTTCACGAGCTGATGTTGCTTTGCTCATTAAGTAAATTCAAGTCACCAATGTAACATGTTGAATTAGGGCTGTCTGGATGATTTTTATTGTATTTTTTATTTTGAGAACCACTTGGTAAGGCTGTTTATTCACTCCCAAACTCAACCCAGGGCTACAAAAAAACAAAACAAAATCATAGGCATTAGATATACCATGGACCACAGTGAAGACAGTCATCAACAACTGTAGAAAGTACAGGGCATCCCTTCATCCAAGCCTGGCTAAAGTTAGCAAAATTAGCTTTGCAAAAATAGCTTAAATTTGGTTTTATTTTACATTTGTTTTATGATGTAATGGCCGGCGCATATAAGCAAACTAAACTCAGCGCCATTCACTTTGGCACCCAGGGAGCAATTGGGGGTTAAGTGCCTTGCTCAAGGGCATCCTCAGTCGTTCAACACTCTGCCGGTATTGAGAACCGAACCTGCGGGGTTACAAATCAGAATCTCTAGGCCACAACCGCCACAAGGTACTCCGGTAAAATGCGATCTTATGGTCTAATAAAGTAGCACAACCTATTCACTGCTTAAATGAATTTATATGCATTTCATTGTATTTAGTATACAGAATTGGTAGTGTGTTGAATCACTCGAGTTTTTATAAAGAACATAGTCATCCAAAATCAGTTCAAATAGGCTTTACATTGAACATAAACCAATATACTCACAGCAAGAAGGTCCTGGGTTCGAGTACCTATAACAAAGCAATAATCACGTCATCCTCATAACAGATGTAGAGATGAGTTTGTGTGGAGCAAACACTGGATCAAGAGCTTCGCTATGAAATGTGCAACTCATTTATTTCATTACATTTTTTAGCATTAAAGTGTTGACAATTATGCTGATTTATTGGGGAACAGCAAGAATATAGTCACTGCATGTGTAAATGTTCTTGCTTTGTGTTTTTCTGTAATTCTAGTAGTGTTTGAATCAATGGTTTGCCTATGTTATGGTTCTCTGCTTGCAAACACACGCATTGCACACTGTGTGTGTATTGTCTGCCTTGTAGCTGACACTTGTAATCGTAGCTGGTCCCAGCTGAATCGGATCAGCATCCTGTTGGATTAGCAGAGTTCAGATGCAGGACCGTGATCCTATAGCAGTTATTCAAGTGCCACCTCTGCTACATCCATATGAAAATGAGCCAGTTTATGCCCAAATGTGCTAGCCTCAAATCTGTTTATATTTTAAACCATCCTTCGTGTTGCTCTGCTGTTCAGTCCTCCAGCTATAAGACTCATAAACACCTGAATCACCAGAACAGCCTCTTACTGCGCTGTGATTGGTCCACAGGCTTGTCAGTCTGTGTATTCCTGCAGCTGTGTTATGATCATCCTTTCAAACATGCCCTGCCTGTGGCTGCTTCTTTCACTCGTGTCTGTGAGAGCCTCATTTCCTGGCTCGCTTTTCTCTCTCCCCAGCGGAGTCATTCTCTCTGATGTGCTTTTGAAGTGCCTGCATAATCAGCAGTCATGTGCCGCAACCCAGAAATACAACTGCAAGTGTGCTTGAAAGAGGACACGATGAAATGTAATTGCAATGGGTAAATCATGGTGGTGTTGGTGGGATTGGGGAAAGTACTAACAAAAAGGGAAAGGGAAAGGGAAAGTAACAAAATTTTACTCTAGGCATAACCGCCAACTCACTATGCACATGCACTTTTGTTCTAAAACCACTTTTCATCTCATACCATTGATTTACAATGTAAATTTTATTGAGATTTCAGATTCATGAAGGTTTGTTGGCATGGGGAAATAAGTTGCCAAAGCATTTGTAAATATGCATACATGCTGTACATACACATTCAGCGCAATCTTTTGACCATACGTCAACATTCGCCTTTTTAGGGTACCCTTAAACGTCGGTTAGATGACGTTATCGGATCCTAACCCTACCCCAGACCTAAACCTACCCCTAAACCTACCCCATCACCTAACTGATGTTAAAGGTAAAGCGTCAGTTGTATGACGGCCCGAGATCGTCAACCAACCGACGTTTAAGGGTACCCTAAAAAGGCGGATGTTGACGTATGGTCAAAAACGTCCCATGACGTCAGCTATATGACGACTTGGGATGAGACTGTGTTAACACATTTACAAAACGAGTCTTATTTATCATCAATATTTCTGGTTAATTTTCCATGAAATGAAGACTGTACATTTTAAATGTGTAATATTATGCTGCAAATAAGGTAATTGTGTGTAGTACTGGGCAGTAATTTACGTATTTGGCAGATGTTTTTAAAGGGTTAATTCACCAAAAATGAAAATTAAGTCATTAATTACTCACCCCCATGCTGTACCAACCCCGTAAGACCTTTGTTCATTTTCGGAACACAAATGAAGATATTTTTTTATTAAATTTGAGAGGTGGATCACCGCTACATAGGCACCCTAAGGGATTGAAACTTGATGGCCCAGAAAGTCAATGAAGAAATGTTTAAATATTTCATGTGACAACAGTGGCTCAAGTATAAGTTTATCAATCGACGAAAATACTTTTTGTGTAAAAAAACTAACAAAAATAACGACTTTATTCGACTACTCCATTTCTGCCTTGTAGGCCTGAGACGAGAGTTCTAGAGATTTCCACGACGCGTGCCCGAGAATTGCGATCTTCTTTAACAACTTTAGTTCAGTTCTCGCGCATGCATCGTGGAAATCTCTTGAACTAACCCTTTAACCCAAAAAATAAAAAGTTTCGCAATTTTGTTGTTCATGCATCCACTGGGAATTGTACCCATGACCTTGCTTTACTGTTTGAACTGTAGTATTGTCCTGAAAATTCTGAAAAATATATTTTAACCTTTGACCATATTTGATATATCTTGATATTTATGTACTTACCCTCCAAATTGCCTTTAAATCAGAGAAATTACAATTTTATTAAAAAGTAATTTTTGAAGTAAATTTTAGTCGAAAGTTAATTTAGTTAAAAAAATAATTATAAAGCATTTTTCTACTCTGTATTTCACCAAACACAATCAAAAATGTTCATCATTTTTTATGCATCAAAATTACATATGGTGTTACACAGCAATGTTTACCTAAATATATACTTAAGACATTTTAATACCCGGCATGGGAAATCCATTTTTCAGTGATAACATCAATATGGTGGGCTACATCAAAATGACTGTTTTGGCAAGTATCCTCCTAAGCCCAGTTTTGACTGCGTTAAAATAAAATGTCTTTATGAACGTAAACAGAAAATCTGATCCGTGTCGGAGCTGTGCATTTGATCTTAAAGTGACAGTAGCTTAATATACCTGCTGCTATCTTGTGCCATTAATGCTAATTAAAGAACAAAGTAAAATAAAAAAATAAAAAACTGACTGATCTTGACCAAGCAGCAACCCTCCTGTCTCTTTTTTAAAACCAACATGGAAGTGACTTAATCGACTGATTCCAAGTTGACCCATTTCTACTTCATCCATACTCTTATAAATAAACACTTTTATTTATAGAGCAATGTACAACATGAGCACACCATCAAAAACGTCCTACACTCATATTTTTCTTGCCCACAAGCATTTTAATTTATAATCTAGAATATATATATATATATATATATAAAAACAGTTTAGCAAAAATACATTACACATCAGAACAAAATAACAGTGTAACTCTCCCTCGCTTCCTGTCCACAGGGGAAGTTGTTGGTGCGCACAGGCCGCGTGGGTCTCGGGGAGAAGATGCTGAGGGACGCGATACAAGTGCATAACACGGCACACGAGGCCTGGAGTGCCCTAGGGGAGGCGCTACAGAGCAGAAGCTGCTCACAGGCTCCCGACTGCTTCCTCACCGCACTGGAGCTGGAGTCCAGCTGCCCTATCCGGCCCTTCACCATCATCCCACGAGAACTCTGACACATCTATGACACTCTGCTGGCTTTCAATCACTTTAATGACACGTACTGTATATCAAAAACTTTGCACTTTTGACTCTTGATTGAAAGGGAGCGTGATCGTATTTGTGAAATTTCACAAGCAAACAAGGTCCGTCGTGAATACTTTTCGCTCACCCAGTTTTCTGTTGAACAATGTGGCAAAAGAAAATATATGAGAAAATTCAATGTGGGACTTTTTTTGACGTCTCAAAAAATTCCAAACTGCGAGAATTCCCATTGAAACGTCCGCGCTATTTCACAGAGCAACAGAAAATGCGACCTTAAAGGGAGAGTTGAAGAATGAAAATTAGCCCATGATTTACTCATCCTCTATTCATCCTTCTTTCAGACGAATACAATCTGAGTTACATTAAAAAATGTTCTGGCTCTTCCAAGCTTTTTAATGGCAGTGAATTGCTGTTTCTGTTCCCCCACACGGCTCCAGATGTTTAATAAAGGCCTTCTGAATTCTAGTTTCCAGCCAAACGAACATACGGATTCTACATACTCCTAATGTGCAACTTGTGACGTCAACAGTGGTGGAGGAAGTACTGAATCTCAGTACTTAAGTAAAAGTACAAATACCCAGATAAATATTTACTTTAGTAAAAGTAGAAGTAACACAATGACAACCATACTTAAGTAAAAAGTAAAAAGTACTTTATTTTAAATGTACTTTAAGTATTAAAAGTAAAAGTACTTGCATAACAATTTATTCTCTTAATGTCTATTTTCTAATGATTAATAAAACATTTAATTCTAACTCATTCAACCTAATAGCCTACTCCTATAATGATGTTCAATAATGATGGAAAAAAACGTCACCATTTCTGAAACAAGCTTGCAAGTAGGCAATGTACACATCATGCTTATCCTTACTATATGTTAATAACTGTGTTTGGCAGTAAACGAGATTAATTTATGGTGTAATTCTGAACCTCTTGGCTTGCCATAATCCTAACCAAACCAAACATATATTACACGCGGTGTGTTTCCTATGCACGTAAAAACAAATTTTCGCGTATGAGTTGCACGATAAACACACTGCGTGTGAGACGCATTTAGTGTGACCGGGTTGATATACTGTATCTATGGCAACCAAACGTCACTGGTGAGACAAACGTGCAACGAACGGACGGTCAGATTACGTTTTGGCAGGGGAAAAACTGATCAGAAAATGTAACGAAAATGTAACAGAAGTTGTAGAAATGTAGTGGAGTAGAAAGTATAATAATTGCTGCAAAAAGTAAAAGTAAAAAGTAGGCACTATTTATTGTACTTAAGTAAAGTAAAGATACGTGAAAAATGTACTTAAGTAAAGTAACGAAGTATTTGTACTTCGTTACATTCCACCACTGGACGTCAAAGTAGCGTAGTGCGTCATTTCGTAGCGTAAATATCAGCAATACGCCGCATTACTCGCATAAGTAGTGAAATCCGTGTGCTCATTTGGCCAGAAGATAGTAATTTTAATTTAGAAAGTTTTAAATATGGATATTTTTCTGACACAAACGCATCGCTTCACTTCAGAAGGCCTTTATTAACCCCGGGAGCCATGTGGAGCACTTTTATTGTGGATAGATGCACTTTTATGGACTTCAAAACAGAAACAGCCATTCACTGCCATTATAAAGCTTGGAAGAAGAGCCATATCATTTAATATAACTCAGATTGTATTCATCTGAAAGAAGAATGTCATATACACCTAGGATGACTTGAAGGTGCAAATCATGGGCTAATTTTAATTTTTGTGTGAACTATGCCTTTAAAAGCCTGTTCACACCAACAATGATAACTATAAGGATGACTATAACTATAATATTAGCTTCTGCACCAACAGAAGATTTGTTTAATATATATTTTTGACGACTGCTACTTTATAGTCAGGTGGATTCTGATAGACCCTCAGTGATTCCAATAATATTTGTTCTTATTTATCTTGACAGTGGTATGGACTTCCATATTCTCAAATACAACGTATTATGACAGAATGACTGAACACATCAAATATTTTCTTTTCAGAGACTGAGTCTTGTTTTTCAGGGACAAAATTGTTGAATTCTTTCGTTCATTTTAATTTCTTTTAGTATTTATACACCCGGTAATCATCTGTACTGTGTGCTGGTTAAAGATTGTTCTTATAAAGAGTGATTTTTGCAATCCCAGTGTCATTGTTTTCTGTTGTTTTCATTCCTTCTCAGTTTCGGTCCTGTAGCTCCACAGCACTTGAATATCTTATGTAATGTTTCCAGTGCTGTTGGTGGAGAAACCCTTGGTCTTCTTTCTCTGGGGCGGCTGTGGTTGCCTAGCAGCCGAGCCTTGTTTGAGTTTCTGGGGAGGCTGTTGGATCTTCAGCACGTGGGTCTAAAAGCCTCATGGAAAACAGCGCTGTGCTATTTTAGCCAGTTCTGTTTGATGACGGGATCAAGATGTTAATTAGGGAGAGCGTTGAACAAATGCATAGCATTGAGTTGGGTTATGTAAGTGTTATAAGTGGGATTCTTGTTTACTTGCACGCATCTACAGTATACATGCCCACTGTTTCTCCTGGCACAGTTTAACGAGTGCTTTTGAAATTGTATCTCTATTATCCTCCCATTTCTATTGTTTGAAACCGGTCTTTCTGGCCTCTCTGCATGTTTTGGCATAGTATTGTTCTGAATCACTTCCACATAATATGTTGTAGAGCTTTTTCTGTTTTAACTATTGCTGATGCATAATTCAAATGCTTGACCACAGGAATAAGAAGGTCTTATTAAATGGGGAAATGACATACTTTTTCTGTTTGAAAATCCATTAAGTCATTTAAACCGATATACAATACACATTCACGTTGAATGTGTTTGCAACAGTTTGTAAACGTGTTTCATGGCTGGGTTATTGCAGGTTTTCAAATATAAACGTGATGTTACTTAATATATTATTGATTTTAAAAATCAAAATGTGTTCATGCTGCATGGTAATATTCAATTTAATATTTGACAGTTATAGCAGCTGGGTTTTTTTTCTTTTTTTTTTATATAAAATAAGTATTTTCATACCAAAGCCCTAAACCACAACGTAAAAAAAAAAAAAAAAAAAAAAAAATCGGAAACTACGAGAAAAGTGCCACAAGATTATATAGTTTAATGGTATTCATATGGCCTTTATATTTCAACCATAATGCAAAACAAATAACGATATATACACTGCATGCAGAATTATTAGGTTCATTTTTAGTCCATCTTCTCCCTGAAGTCTGTTTTGCAGAGATGGACTAAAAATGAATCATTCTAATATGGTGATTTAAAGCTCAAGAAACATTTCTCATTATTATCAATGTTGAAAAGAGTTACTTACTGTACATTTCATTTTTCATTTCAGGATTCTTTGATTAATAGAAAGTTCAAAAGAATTATCTAGCTTTTTATTCTATTAAAGCTATTTTTGGGGGAAAGAAATAAAATAAATCAACACTTTTATTCACCAAGGATTAAGTAAATTGATCAAATGTTACAGTAAAGACATTTATGTTACAAACGATTACTTTTGTACTTTCTGTTCATCAAAGAATTCTGAAAAATAAACTGTACACAGTAATGACAATGAAAATTCAGCTTTGATCACAGGAATAAATGACATTTTAAAATATATTAAAATAGTAAGCAGTTATTTTAAATTTTCGCAATATGTAACAATATTACGTTTTTTTTTTTTTTTTTTGGTCAAATTTCTGCAGCCTTGGTGAGCAGAAGAGACTTCTTTTTAAAACTTTAAACATTTACCGATCCAAAACGTTTGATTGTGTATAGTATTATAATGAAGATAATGCAGTAATTATTTATCTTGATTTAAATTATTTATTAGTGTAGAGTACAAATTATTATTACAGTAATGAGAGTTTAATTAGTATCACCATTGAGGTTGATGGGAATAACAAAATGTGATATTGGGATTTAGACAAAATTAGTCAAAAACATGCAAAGTTACAATGATTTTTTCTGAGATTTACTCAAATAACATGATCACTTTTCTCTCTCACTTCTCTCTGTTAGCGGTTGTCTCTAGCATTATAGGAGCTGTAGTGGGGATACATGGGATTATTTGGAGAGGTAGTGAGTGATAAAGAATGCTATTCATCATTATAGCATCAGCCTGAATGATTTTCCTGACCAATCATGCATTTCCCAAAAGCATCGTAACTCAGCCAATTATGGTCGCAACGACAGAACATGCAACAAAAGTTACTTTTGGGAAACGCATCCCAGGCCAGCCGAGCCCAGTGTCCCAACACAAAGTTCCCGTATGGCACACACAGGAGAACTGGGCTCAATATATTTCATAAATTTTGAAAGAAAAGGGAATGATAGATGGAGGCCTTTGAAGTGGAAGCTTGTCCATTGGGATTGCACAACAACTGGGTTCTGGAGGTACAACTCTCCATAGAGAAATGCATGTATTATGCACAAAACTTTTAAGACGGAACTACCATATTGTTAAAGAAATAGTTCTGTCATAATAACAGGGCTTGGACACAATGACGATGGATGAACAATGAACAGGTGCGTTTATTTATAGAGCAGCAAGAACACAATTCAATGCAGGAAAGTAATGACGAGCATGAATAGAAAAAACAATAGTCTATGAAAGATGATTACTGGTTTTGTCTTACAGGTTTAGACATACACTCACAAATAATAACAATAGGTTTCAACATGGAACAGGTAAAACCAAGGGAAGTTTGTAGGCAATGAGTCTGTGTTCTTCAGACAAGGCCAGACAACTACTGGTGATGTTTATGTGTTATTGTGCAGCTGATGAGTGACGTGTGTGATCAGTACTCAGACTCTGAAGGCTGAGTGGCCATTTAAACAACACCGTTTTCAACTAAAAATGGAACAGTTTTATCCTTTTTGGTTTTGGGGCGTGAACAAGCAATTTTTGAAATTAATTGATACCACTCTGTGTAAACTACGAAAACGTGAATTTGTGAAAACGGTGACATCATGCGTATGAGTATTACGTGTTTAGACTATATGTACAGCTTTCCTTTACAACATGATGACATCACCAATACTGGCCTGGCAGCATAATGCTGCGTTTCGAGAATCCGTGTGAATGCGTATCGTTTTGTCAGCTGTACGTGAAAAATGCAAAGGGAAAACTTTTCCATTTTTAGTACATTGTTGTTATGTAAGCTTGGCGTGATTGTGACAAGTG